CATAGCTTACTAGGAGGGTGACCACAGGATCTGAAATGCCCAGCACAACTCTGGGTTACACTTGCTGTCCTCATGAAATTGATACCATCCTTTTTACTCTTGAAAATGTCTCAGAAGGGAAAAAAGAAATTCATGAAATTCACTCAATAAATGGCAGGTGTACCAGGCTTTATGAACACATTTTGACAACTGGAGAAAAGAACACAGTACTTAGGAATAAGATTGTAATTTCTTCACAAGTTCCAGAACTTTCAGTAGTGTAGAAATTGTTTATTCTTAGTTCCTAAGCAAAATTAGCCACACTCCCTATTCCTACCCCTCTCCCCATTTTTAAATCTCCTTGGGTAGCCCAGCCTGACCTTAAGTTTCTGATCCTTCTGACTTGCCTCCAGAGCTCCTAAGAGTGCTGGGGTGACAGGAGCATGCCACCACTCCCCGCTTCTTTTGCATTTTACATCATTGTTTGATTTAGAATAACAAGGGGGCCCAAGAAGTGAACTATTCTTATTAGTGAACTATTCTTATTGTTCTTTTAATGCTTACATTTTATAACTGTAAACTACTGTCATGTCTCCGTTAGTTACTTCAACAGGGAAGTAGTACTTTCAAATTTTCAGAGGCACTGTTCAAACTTACTGAAAAACAGTGCTAAAAATTAGGAGTTCAATAAAATTGATTTTGAAGACATGCTATTGCATGAAATATAGGTTTTCTGTTGCTAGGCATAACGAGCTTGTGTCATATCCAATGTAATTTTTGCTCATTTAACAAAATTAATAAACCGAAGTCCAATAAAATATGGCCTAAAAGTACTAGCTGGAAAAAACAAGAGATCGCAGGCCCAAAAAAGAGACTTACAGAATTTTTAAAATCATGTTTATGTGACTGCACATAAATGTCTGTGTAAAAAGGGCATTATGACAGTTGATACCACAAAGATTACAGTAAGAAAAAGCACTTTATGACAATATTTCACAAATTCACAAGGATCACTTTAATATACAAAGCAACGGCTACCATTCTGAACACAAAGTAGCTAATAATATGTACATAGTGTTAATAAAACGCATTGGAACTCAGTACTTTTTTCTTTACACATAAAGCACAGAAAGGTTTAGGTAAAAAAATTTAAACAGGGATGTTTCTAGAATGTAGGGAATTTTATTAGAAGTACTTCCCTCGTTATAGTTACTTATTAGTATTCAACTCCAATAGAAACATCAGAGTTAAACACTGATACCCTGTTTTGTGCTGACAGTTTTAGGGGAGGTATTCTTTACTCCAGTACACAAGGAAAAACCAAAAAGCCAAACATCTTTCTAGCAACTTCCCTGGTTATTTTGTTTCTAAGTGATATATCTGGGGAAATAATTCCTTTTGCTGGGAGGACTGTAACTGACGTGCGCACAGATCGGTCAAGGACACACCAGGTGGCAATGTGCACTAGCACTCTTCTTTGCCACTCCAAATACATTTTACAGTCACAGAAAAATGTTGACATTATTTCTTGTTCTTAATATAATTTTATTACATACACATTGGAGTGGCACCTGGATAAAAATATGTCTATATAGCAGTTACCAGTTTAATAAAAACCAAAACCAAAACCAAAAAAATAACCTTAAAACCTCCCAAACATAGCCACCTAACGTAAGATCTCAACCTGCAGGGATTTTCTTCCGTCCCCACTCATTTTTTCAACATCTCAGATTTACTCACATCTGAGATGCCCCTCAGACAGCTTAGACGCCACACTCCTATTGGCAAGTATTGAATCATGCATGAAAAGTAGGAGTTTCCGAATGTTTGACCCTTCTCACATACTTCCTATAGATTGTTCATCTTCCTTTTTCTTGCTGGTGAAAATAATTTAAAATATATCACATTTTACCCAGCTGGGACCTGCATCCATAGTACCAGAATGAAGACAGGTCAGTATTTGCTCTGCGCTAACAACTCTTGCTTCCCAAGCTTTGTTCTCTTATTTGTTTTTTTTATTTTTCTTTTTTTAAAAAATAAATTTCAAGCTAAAACACCTGAAATATAATCCCTCCATTCAAATGTTATCTGGTCCCTCTTAAAAGTTTGTCTGTCCCTGAGGACACATACAAAGGCTTAAACTACATTCACTAATCAGTAAGAGCGTATCATGAGCAGATGAGGCAGATGGAACTTCAGCACCCTGTTTGATTTGTTTGAAATTCTTCCATCCTGACTCAACTTCATGATATGTCCAACCCCTCAAAGATTAATGGCTCTGTTGGCCATTGATTCTAGAAAGTCAAGGAAACCAGTTCCTAGTACATATATGACTGTGTAGTTAACTTTTAAAAAGTCAACATTATTAACATTGAAAGTAATCAAGATGTACATAAGCCACCCAACAAAAATTCTAGTTGTGCTTTTGTACAACTTAGTCAAGAAATTTATTTCCTAATTTTTCATCTACAGGCTTACTAAAGCATACCTTATTTCCCCCTCATCTAAAACCAGTCAAGTTTAGGCAACATTTCTTTGATGCTAAGAAAGCCAATTTAAAATGAAAATAATTTAGTAATATGATTATATGGTCTCCCATGAAGACAATAAGTGAATTACTATAAGAAAGCTTTTACTAGTCTGGAACAATTTTTTGGCATAGTCTAGATAGTACTGATGTTGCAGGGAGGATAAATTTTCATTTAAAATTGGAAGTGTTATTTAAATGATTTTTCCTTCAATATTTACCCACGGTGAAAAAGTCTAAGCTCACCTTTTAATCAACTGGGCTATTCAAATCTAATTTCCTTCAGATATTTTGCTTTCATAACATCTTTAAGGCTAGCTATGGTACTGTAATCAATGAAAGGCTTCCATCGAGGAAGGAGTCATGATTTGAAGAGAGGAGAAAGACCAAGGCGTCAGTTGATAACTAACTGATGAGGGAATTTTCTAAGTTGCTGATACCCAAACTGGGTCATTTTAAAAAGTGCAAGTTACACCAAACATTTACAAAGAATTAATGTAAATACAACCCTAAGTAAATATACAACTTTTATAATCGGTCCTGGGAAATAATACACCAATAGTTTTCAGTGTTATAAAGGCAAAACATAAAGCCTCTTGGAAATAACTGAAAGGGCATGTGGCCGCTGTTTTTTAAGACAATAGCCATATTTAAATGCTGCAAAATGAAGCAGCCTTTGGTAAAAAGAAACCAATTTATATTAATAGCCGGCTGGAATTGATCGGTGAATTAATTAAAAGCTTTCTAAACATGAAGACATCTAGATTGAAGTCACTTCAAGTAAGTAAAAGCATTCTGGTTTATATAAACTTGTTTCTAAGCCCCAAGCCTTTGTATGATTCCACATGTTACCCTAAATGGTCAAAAATAGTACAGAGTAGTCCTGAGAGACAGATGACTTCTGATCGGATAGCCTGCCTGACTGGTTTTGTGCTTTCAGATTCTAGCACTGCTTGCTGACCTACCATCAGAACATATTTCCTGACAAAAATCCCTGCTCCAATTAAACACCAAAATTCTTTCCCCAATATGATTTTTTTTTTTTTAAAAAAACCAGTGGTTCCTTTGAAAAGGTGTTTTCAAAATGTTCTTACTACTTTTATAGCTGCCAGAAACAAAGCAGAAAAAAACAAATCTGGGGATTGGGAGTTTTCAAGTGACTAGTAACATTAAAAGCATCAAGCAAAGAAAACAAAAAAAATTTGGAAAAAAATTAAACAAAATTCAGTCATGAGTGCTGGGTAACGCAATCATTGAAACTACCAGAAGGATGCAAGAGAACACACAAAAATGCAAAATTTCATCTGACCTTGATACACTATAATACTTAGCATTCCTGACTTAAAATAGCTCTCAGAGCTTTTAGATTATATACTGTATGTATGTATATATGTACACATATATTATACAAATGCCATTTTCCCAAACCCAACCCCTATAACATCTAAATGAATGCAGCACCTATGACAATATTATGGTTGCCAATATGGTACTTGAGTTTGAAAAAGAATGAACTTAAATTGTATTTCATATCAATTTTTTAATATGAACACATTGGATCTAGCCCTTTCTAAACCATGTTTCAGTTAAACACTATCAAAGCTTGAAAACTCATAAGAGTAATATATCAAAAATAAACGCTTCCCCACTTCCTTTTTATTAGAGTTAATCTGTCCTATAGATAAAAGTGCCACATGGCCCTATATTTGCAAAGTGAGCAATACCAAACTTGCTATTTTCTAGGCAAATCAGTAGCATATGTACAGATTCCTATGATGACATTTTCATTCCCTTTTGGCCAATATGAAAAGAAAAACATTACTGGTAATGTGGCCACATACAACCTTATTGGATACAAGATTTTTTTAAAAAAATTATGTCATTTTTCTTAATAAAGATTCTCCAAGTTTCTAGCTTAAAAACAAACTTTTCTAACTCGTATATTAAAAAAAAAGAGCTTGCACAAAAGATGCTTGATTTCTATCTGTATAAACTGAAATCTTCAAGTCTCAAGGGTCTAAAACAGATT